TTGTGTAATTATTTGTGCAATTTGTGTTAAATTATTTGTGTAATTTGAATGTGTAGTGCACTGGTGTGTACAATTTTTGTCAAAGTGGCATTCCAACACTTTAATTATCCAATTATAATGTGATTTAATATAACCGAAATATATTAAATTATGTAGTGTGTACTTTGAATATGTTAAATTAATACTTGTGTTCAATTATTTGTGTAATTATTTGTGCAATTTGTGTTAAATTATTTGTGTAATTTGAATGTTTAGTGCACTAGTGTGTACAATTTTTGTCAAAGTGGCATTCAAGCACTTTAATTATCCAATTATAATTTTTTTAATATAACCGAAATATCCGAAACCTGATCCGATATCCGATAATATCCGACTTTAAAATATCCGATTTGAAATATTTAAAGGGTCGGGCCTAGTATTTGAATTAAAAAAAAAACGAACGGGTTTAGGGTACACAGACCCGACCCGCCCGAACCCGACCCGTGCACAGCCCTAGCTGCCACACATCCCGTTGGCGCAACAAGCGGTCGTGCATATTGTCTGCTCCGTCTTCGCGGAGCAGGTTTGTCGCTCATCTTCCTTTGTATATATCTTCATCTCTTTCTGCGCTTGCGCATCCCATCGCCATCGGCCGGTGATGCCAACTCCATGGTCGACAAACGAAATTTGGATTTTCTTAGCGACAGCGACAGAATTCCGATGCCAATGGTCTCTAGATCGGAAATTGCAACGACAAGTGCTTGTAGAGTTGATCCATATCGAAGCGGCTAGGGTTGGGGTTGGTCAAGGGTATTGCGTTAGCTTGGGACAGAGGTTGGGGGTAGTGCTGGTAGCAGGCTAGTCCGATAGCCGGCTGCTAGGTGGCAGTCACAGTTGTGGCGGCAGCTGGTGCATGGTGTTGACGGATGTTGGTTGTGTCAGTGCCACTAAGTCAGAGTCAATATAATCGGTGGGCCATCGACGGTCACAGGCTGGGATGGTCACTGTGGCGGATGCCACTAGACGAGTTATGTCACTATCGGGTGATGTTTATGATTCATATATTTTTGGAAAATAAATAAAAATGTCGCTTTTTCTCCATTATCCCTTTACTGTAATCTTCAATTCAAACTTGAAAAGATTTTGAGGTCAGCTAACATGATTCGATCCATGATATTAGAGTAAAAAAGAGAAGTAAGATAAGAAAAATAAAAAAATAAGATAAGATAAATTTGATAAGATAAATACTAATATATGATACAATTTACACAAGAAAATAAGAGAGATAAAAATGTACATGAACATTTTTTTTTACCAAAAAATATATCATAAGAACATAGAAAGATAAAGTAGATAAAAGAAATAGAGAGAGAGAGAGAGAAAAGATAAAATATATTGATTGTTCACAAGAATATGTGTCTCCACTTCGCTCTCTCCAAAACCACTCTCATCCAACCTAGTAAGAAACATATCAGTTATGATTCATCTAATCCCAAGTCTATCCGGCAATTCCAGTTAAATTTCTAAACATATATTTTACACTAAAAATACAAAGGAATTTTAAATTTGAGGTGGAACGGGGCTCGATTGGCCCCCTCTCTACCTTCGCCACTGACCTTAAAAGTTTATCACTTCTTGCCTTGATCAGTTGATCCTCAGCGAGATGTAGGTATTAAAGATGTTTTTAAGCAAACTAAAATTTTCTAGTCTGGTCTCGTTTTATTAGGTTCGCTCTACAAGTTTCGTCTAGTTTTATTTGAATTGGTCAAACAAATTAATGGCTATTCTGTATGTATTTTATAAGGATGATTCTATTTACAACCTCCATTTTACAAACCACAACCACTAAATTAAATATTAATAAATAAAATTATTTGAAATATCTATTTTGCCCTTTTATAATAATAAGGGCTGCAGTCGTTTGGTTGGAGGCAATCTTGTATGCAGGTCAGAGTCTGATGTCCGAAATATGAGATACCCGTATTTGGTTTGTGAGTTTTTTTGGGAATGTTACATTCCCAAAAAACTGAAGAAAATAATCTCATGACCCATAATGTTAAACCCATGAAACTCTTCGGTTATCTTGGATGCATGATTGATCATAACACTTCTTCCAAAAATACTCACTCATTTAATCAAGAGGAACTCATTTAATGAAATATACACCTTTATTTATTAATGTGTTTTGCTATGCATTTACTTAAACAATAATGATTACCGATGTTCTCTAATCTTTGTCATTTAAGCGAAAAACATACTTTTTAAAAAAAAAAATATTCAATTAGTTTTTATTTAATTCATTATTAAGATAAGATATTTCATTTTTCTTTAATTTAAATTACTTCAAAATTTATTGTGTTAAGAGAAAATATTTGAAGGACATTGATGTAATTCATCAAATCTGCAATATAAGATATCATTCGACCAAATAAATTAATGTCACATTCCATTAATCTTAACCAAATACAAATGAGATATTAATTGCCAGGGGCGGCCCTGCATGTTCGAAAGCATAGGGGCGAAAAATTAAAATTGACCTAATATTACAAAATATTGTAGAACTCTTTTCTATCTAAACTCACATGCATAATAATAGTAATATTTCAAGACACTTATAAAAAATTGTAAAATCATATTCTGTCTAAAACAATATTATAGTATTGATGATCTATATTTAGGAAGGAAACAATATAATGATGTTTCTATTTGTACACTTTAACAATATTTAAGTCATATTTAAGAAATTAACTCTGTTATTATCACCTCCTAAATTCACCACTCCAATGATGTAATCATTCTGAATCATTTCATTTTCAGTAGCTAAATCATTGTTCTTCTATGAGTTCTTATCTTGAAGAAGACATTCATGATTTGACTTCTTTACACAAACAAACTTTTCCATAAACCTTTTTTATATAGTGTCAATTTCTCTCATCTTCTCCTCTTTTTTATTTACCCTATCCAGATTCAATCTTTTTTCTTACACCTTGAAATTAATTAAATTTATAAATTTTATCATAATTGAAAATGTTTGTATAAAAAAAATCAACAAGTTAAGACGTACACCAACACCAATAAAAAACAATCAACAATTAAGAAATCAAACAATCAACTATGAATGAAAACAATTAGTAAACTAATCAAATAATCATATTAGACTAATATGTTTTAGTCTAGATTTTTTTATGAAATTATTAAAGAATATTTTTCATCAAGTGTAGACCATGTCTATAAAATTTCATCTTAAAATTCAATTGTGAAATTAGTTAAATAAATTACTGAAAATAATATGTCAAATTATGTATAAAAACGCAGTGTTTTCAATAATTTATTTTACTAAATTCTAAATTGAACTTTAAACTAATTCTTTTTACATATTCCACACTTCATAGAGAGCATGATCATAAGTTTTCACCAAAAAAATCCATTCCGAAGAGTTTCAACAAATTTTACTCGAAAAATGTTAGTTTAGGGCTCAAAAATTAGCCTACTCACACATATATTACAAAGAACTAAACTTGAGCCTATTTTTTACCCATTTTTTTGGGTCTAGGGTGACCGCCCCGCTTGGACCCCTAGGGCCGCCCCTGTTAATTGCATACATATTAATCATCATATCGTATTGATGAAGCAGAAGTATAGTAAGTAGTACGTAGTACCACGTAGTAAAAAAAGCAACTCATCTCCCAGAATCATTTCATGTTAATGTTAGATCGAATTTCCTTGCCTCTACCAACCTGTCGGCCTCCTCGAGTCCTCGTCAGGCTGTACAACCTTCTTCTGCAATTTTGAGTGATTGTAGCAGCCATCGCCCAAGAAGGCCAGGCCTTATCCAGCATCCCAACATATTGAGTGGCGGAGTCAGAGATTTTTCAAGGGGCGTACCGAAAGCTAAGATTCATGGCACAAATTAGCACAAATTAGTCATGACATTCTACTCGACTCATATAGTCATATCTATAATCTCGTAAATCAATCATACGAGTTTTACTATGTTCAAAATTTTATATAGGAAAACGAGCTCGTTGGACTCTTGTACACTCATCTTCACACTCAAAACTCAAGAGGTTCTCATAGAAATGACCGGTCTTACCTCTATCTATACTCCTAGCATCAAAAGCTTCTTTAGAATTTTTTATACGCCATTACACATCTACATTCTTTCAAAAAGTATCCACAAGCTTCTCTAATCTAATGGAAGGATCTAGAGAACTCCACAATTCTTCAAAATGTTTTAGATGCTTCCACACATTTTCGCACGATTTTAGTGAGTTGCACACTTTTATATAAAACTTATCAATATTATTCTAAAACATTCAATACTTCTCTACACGCATATACAAATCCTAGACATCTTTACAAATTCTAAAATTCTCATGAAATTTTCCATTAAGGAGAGAATCCAACAAAGTCTCGACAATGTTTTGATTATTTTGTTTCAAGAAATGTGACATCATATTATTCGTTAATCCCAATACTCTTTTGCACTATAACCACGAAAAGGCAACCCTTGTGACATTAAAGGTTTAAAACAATCCATACTTGCATTCAAATGAGTGAAAATGCCATAACTCGAAGCTGGAGAATCATTTCCCAGGAGTTGAATTTGGCCTCACCATTTGCCCAGACCGCCACTCCGAATTTAGCCATCGTTCTTCTACAAGGGTAAAGGAGTGTTTGCGGTTGCTTAAAAAAGCGCTTTTCAGCTGTTGCCTTTAAAAAAGCTGAAAACAATGTTTTCAAGTGACAAATTCTGATTAAATTAATCACTTAAAAGCAAAAAACTCAAAGCAGGTAGAATGATACTTTAAAGTGCTTTTCACTTTTTCTATTACACAAAAGTACATATTTTCTGAAACACTACCAACTTTTATTTTTTCAGAATCACTTTTTTTCTCAAACACTACCAACTTTTACTATTAATTATTTTTGTCAAAATCATTGTAAAAATTCACTTTTTTAAAAATGGTGGCTTTACCTACCAAAACGGTGGGAAGTATGATATGGTCTAATCTTTTCAGATCTCTGGTCTAAGGAGGGACTAAAACCAGTCCGGTTAAGAAACATACGGAGTACAAGACCAGCAATACAAACCGCTGGAAAGAATCAGACTAACTGATAAATCACTTCCCATCTGTGAACCTGTGAAGTCACGATTTCTCAAGCAAAGCTGGACGTCCCGCTAACAAAGTTACAAACTGGACACTTTTTGTTTTGATCTGAAGTGATATACCTCAAGTTGAACGATTGATGTTCAATAACTTAAGGGCACATTCACGCGGCCGGGTAATATGGAATTTTGAGTCCGCTGAATACAAACAAAGCAAGGAAATGGAAAATTACCAGAACCTGTTCGGTGAAATGCCTGAAAGAGACATGAAGAGGGGTGACAGGTTCATTTCCCTCCAAAAATAAATAAGTGGTTGCTGATTCGCTTAGCAGAAAATGCACTTGTTTGTTCGCCAGTCTACATAAGTTGTTTTGTTAGCTTAAAGTCTAAAGCTTTGTTAGGCCAAGTGAGTTAGTTGATTCCATGTTTAGCAGATGAGACAGTAATGTCGAACTGCTGCAAAATTCTTTTCACAAATGGTGTCATTTCAACTTCTGCTGAAACACCATCTGTTGCAACCTTACTCGAAGCTCACCCGGGTATGAACCTTTTTTTCATTTCAATAAATGTGTCTTATGTGGTTATTACTTGCTTTAACGAGAGCATTGCCACTCAAGAGAAATTGCTCGTTTCATTCAATGCTTATCTTCAGGTCAACCCTAATGAACAACTAATTGGTTTTGTATTCGCCTTTCAATGGCTTAAAATGTATTCTCATAAACCCAGAAGGCAAGACATTAAAATGTGGTTGGTTATTTGGTTTCAGGTGCATACACAACCACCCGGACTCATAACAATGGATCAAAGCTCTTGTTCTGGGAAAGGCACTTGAGAAGACTCTCAAATTCCGTCAGTATTCTGCTACACTCCAGCCCAAAACTCATGTTCAAAGTCCCAACATATGCTGTTGCATACTCCTCAATGTCAAGGGCCTCGCCCATGTGGGATTCACTAATTCAGTCTCTGGTAAATGACTCAATGAGAAAGGTTATGCCTGCTGTGCTAACAGAGAGGGAAAATGAGGAGGAATTAGCCATCACATCTCTTGTCAGTGGCAATTTGGATGATTTTAGGGATCTAGAGAGATTAAATGAGGAAAACATCTTGAGAATGTTTGATGTGTATGTGCACATTAGTGGATATGTTCCTAAAATATTTGGAATTTCAGAAAACGGGGCACACTTGGCAGTTGCTGGCTGTGGAAGAGAGGTAGCAAATGCAAAATATTCAGACTGGGTGAGGTACTACTTAATAAATTCCAATTTCTATCACATCAGTATTAAGTACTTGTTTTAATTTGTTTATTTTTGGTAGGCAGAGGAAGTGCTTGGAGAAGTTGAGGCCTCCTTCAGTCAATGAGCTCTTGTTGTCCAATAATGGAGATAAAATTTTGGAGGGCTGTTTGACAAATTTTTTTGTGGTTTGTTGCAAGGTGAGAGGATAAAGTAATGGGTTTTCAATTACTAAAAGTCTGAATATTTTAAACTTTTAAATAAAGTGCATACAAGGTACTTGATCAGTTGACCATTGCTACATGCCACTAACATGAGATTATATGACCTCTGCAAATGACAGTTAGGTTGGTCCTTGGAAACATATGTGGGTTCTTAGTGGGTCTCTATGTAGCTTGACTTGCGCTGAAATTTTATCCAAATTGTCTACGTAAATTATAAGAACACTAATTAATCTTGATGACTTGCGCTGCACTGATAGAACTAACGTCGTATTCCTAAAATGCACTTATAATTAATCTGGATATTAATAAAGACTTCTGTTGCTGGACAGGAAGAAAAAGGAAATACAAACTGTTTTGAAATACAGACAGCCCCCCTCAGTGATGGTGTTCTTCCAGGAGTTATACGCCAAGTAATTCTTGGGTGAGTTCCTGGTTTAGTTTATATATATTTGAAACCCTATAATTACTCTATGGAACCTACATTCTTCATTCGGAAGTTTTTGCTACAATTAAGATGAGTAGGTATATCCAAGGCATATATATTGTAGATTGAGTTCATCAATAACTTATCAAGTACATGTTGTTAGAAGTGAACTATAATTATACCCCTGTGCAGTATATGCTCAAGAAATGGAATTATGCTCCGAGAAGTTGCACCATCATGGTCAAAGCGTGAAACATGGACAGAAGCATTCATTACAAGTATGCTATGCTATGCCGTAATGAGTTCAACCACCCTAGTATCATGGAACTGCATTGCACAGTTTATGATTCTCTTTAAGCTGTATACAATCTGCAATGCACTGCTTTTATATGCTAGAAATTATTTCTGTGTGGCAGATAGCTTGAGAGTAGTGCAGCATGTGGTGACAATTCGGTTTCCAGAATCAATGGAATCACTTGAAGAAAAAACTTGGAATGATGTCATATGGGAAGAGAAAAAGTTCGAGGTACCATTCACACACCTGAAGGAAAATAATTCCACACCGGGGCTATGGGAATCGAACCTGCTTATTAGATTAGGAAATCCCATTAATAGGACTAAAATGTAACAGTTTTTTTCAAATAAGACTTACTAGTCATTATTTTGCCTAAAAATATGACTCATTCACTTCTAAAAATGAATTATTAACTACTTATATTTTTTAGAACCAAATTAGTCCTATTTTTAGTCCTATGGTGATACTCCTATTTATAAATAACTGAAAGAGTCCTATGTTTAGTACTTCCTCTGTCCCAAAATAATACGTACTAGTTACATATTTTCTTTTTGGGTTGTCCCAAAATAAAGATTACTTTTCCTTTTTTGGCAAGTAATCCAAAACCATTCATATTCACTCTTCCTTTTCCTTATGTCTACAACTTGACATTCCAATTTTACTTAGGTTTTCACTGCTACAGTAAAAGGAGAGTGTAGTTTAGGTATTTTATCCCATTTTCTTAATCTACGAGCCCAAAAGTTTATTCTTTATTAATTTGGGACGGATGTAGTGCATCAGAATGATATTCCTATTTATGCACATGATATATATACTAGTATGTTAGTATGTTACACCCATATATACCTTAATTTCTTTATTATACTAGCATGTTTAGACAAATTAAGGCATATATGAGTAAAAAATACTACTCCCTCCACCTTGCTAAGATTGTCTCATCTTTCCTTTTCGTTCTGTCCCACTAATATTGTCTCATACCAAATTTGGTAAGTTTTGTGTGGTTCTAAATCATTCTTACTTTATTCTTACTTTAACAATTCAATATCAACCACATAAACCCACTTTTTAATAGCGTACCACTCGCTCATGTCCCAATGTTAGTGGGATGGAGGTAGTAGTATAATAATGAAACTAAGCCTTTGGGTGTACAAAATAGTATGTACCATTGTTTGTACATACTGTTGTACTAGTATGTTACTATGTATTACTCATATATGCCTTACTTTCATTATTCTACAAGTATGTTTTACTCATATATGCCTTACATTCATTATTATACTAGTCAAGTTGGTTTTCTTGATGTCTTGCATAAATAGCAGGGTACACCTGGGAAAATCACAATGCTCATTCAGGTAATTGAGCACATTTCACTTTATCATCTCTCTGTTAATAAAAGTAATTAAGTAGAAAAAGAGTAGAATAGTACCAACTATGATGCAAATCTATGAGGCCGTTTGGCGACACTGTTTTTCGGCTTATCAGGCTTATCAACCAACTTTTTCACCAAACACGTAACTTTTGTTTTCGCGCGCTGAATTGTGTAATAAGCAGAAAAAGTAAGGTTGGAGTTACTTTTCTGGCTGTATTGGCTGAAGTTACTGTAGATGACCATTTTAGCTATTTTTACATATAATTTTTTCTTTATTTTATTAATAAAATATATTTTAAAAATGGTTTTTTCTTAAATCAGCCAATGCAACCACTTCAGCCAGGAACTTCATAAATTCAGCAGAATCGGCCAAAGCAGCCAATTTTGGTGCTACCAAACGGGCTCTATATGTGAATTTGAACTCATCTCAACAGAGTTATGGTGCAACCGGGGGAGTGTGAGTGCCACTTTTTTTAGATTGGATATGTATACTCTAACGTTCTCAAAACATTTTTTTGGGTTTATTCCTGTAATGGAAGAGGTTGAACTGATTCAAGAACAAAGTAGATATTCATTTCTGTTCCTTCCTTTTACAGGAGGAGATAATGAAATTAGCAGAACTAGAGGGGTATCCGGTTGCTCTTTTCAATGAATAAATTGCCTCTCATTAGTTATTACTGTTGGGTTAGCTTTTTTATGATTTTCTGTCTGTGATATAACCATGAATGAGTGCAGCAGTTATGCAAGTTTATGTGGGAGACTTTCTACTAGTATGCGTTTGATCCAATATGGATGTGGAAAATTCTATGCTTCAAAAGTTAGCATGCGTTATTCCTTTTTTCTTCTAATACTTCCATTGTTCCATCAGAGAAATATTCATGTTTATAATGATTATGAGTTCAACACATATATAGTACTCCACAGTTTTTGAGTTCAACATATATGTAGTATATCTTAGAGAATAAAAATATTGTACCATTTTTCCATATTATGACTGATGAAGTTTCATCATAAGGACTTTTTTTTGAAAGGCCATAAGGACTTTATGTGGCAATTAGTTAATGAGGGTTTGTAAAAAATAGTCCATGTTTGTTTGCACATGTAGCATTTTCCTTTTAGAAAATTTACTATTTCCCCATTGAAGTAGATCATAATTGCTAGTTCAACCTTGTAATTTTAAAATTCAAGTACTCACCGTTGACTCTTTGAGTTCGGATTACTCTCAATGTTTACACTTTCTGTCAATATTCATATCATCTAACTTTATATAATTGTAAAACAGTTCAATTCCTTAATATTCACTGTTAATAGTCTAAATGATTCATCATCATACTTGTAAGACATGGTTAATGTTCACGATTCATTGTTCTTGCTACTCGTGAGATTACTTGATATGGATGAATTACGGGTAAAAGCCATGACTTTTATTGATGAAGAGAAGTGTTTTGACTTTTAAGAGCCCATATTAGATTTGTCGTACATTTATATATACTTCTTATTTCAACGATTAAGAACATGTATTTTAGACCTCAGATTTGAGGATTAAAAAAATTTAAACGAGATAAATATTGACGGAATTGATAAGCAGTGAGAATAGTCCAAAGAGTTGTATTTATTTAGCAAATGTTGAAATTTTCCGAGGACTCGAGAGTTAATTGTTAATATTATAGTAAGAATAACTCTAAATGATAATACAAAGACTAAGTAGACCTGTTACATAACCAAAAAATCATTTTTCCATATTTCTTGGGTATCATACTTTACGTATTTGAAATTTGATCAAGAATTATCAACAAAAGAACTTTAATTCAATGCACAAATAACTCTTGAATTGCAAAAACTATTTTTAATTCAGTTCCATGTACATGACCTTATTTTTCTCTCAGTATTAGATTAGTTCAGTTTAAGTATTACTATGCAAACATTTAGACATTCATATGATCTACTCTTTCCTTTAATAAAAAGAGCATTGTAGGAATTTGGAAGCAATATAAAAAGTGTATGAAGGCTTGGATGTAGGGGTGTGTCCGGTTTATGCGGTTTGGTTTTGACCTAAAACCAAATGTAGAATCAAACTAAAAACTTCGGTTTGTTCATATTTTTTTTGTCCAACCTCGGTTGAATCGGTTCGGTTTTGTTCGGGTCGACTTAAGTTTTTTCGGTTTTAAACCAAAAGACACATACTTTCTGAACAAAGAAATGACGTGCAAAATAACCAAAGTGCAGGATAATAAAACACAAGTATTGAAGAAAGTCAATCATTGCCTTACAATTTAAATAAAGTGCACTAAACATTAGTACATGACATTTAAAAGTTAAGTGCAGTAAACTTAGATATAGTGCAGCAAAATAAAATGCAGTCCCAACTGAAATGAAAATAAAATGCAGTCCCAACTGAAATGAAAAAATGCAGTCCCAACTATAAAATGAAAATAAAATGCAGTCCCAAAATAAAATGCAAAAAGCAAATGCATTAAACTGAAATGATGAGCATCCTCATCCACAAAAATATAAGCTCTTCAAGCATATCCCATCCTCATCACTGGAATAAGTATACGCATGACCGGCCGGCCATATACTCCACATAAAATAAATGAATTTTTTATATTTTTAAATATTTCGGTTTTTTCGGTTTCGGTTCGGTTTTGAGGAGTCAAAACCGAAACCGTAACCAAACAGGTTCGGTTCGGTTCGGTTTTTTATGTTCGGTTTCGGTTTTTCATCGGTTCGGTTTATTTGGTCGCGGTTTGATTTCATTTGATTCGGTTTTCGGTTCTACGAACCCACCCCTACTTGGATGTGGTTGTTGCAAAAATAGGAAGGCTAATTCTATATTTTAAAGTGTACAATTATACTCCGTAGATGGTAGTTGAAGTTTTATATAGATTGAAGTGATAACATAAAATATGGCCATATAACATTTGGAGTCATCTTTTAACATTCTATATACATGAAGATATAAACTAAACCAAGTAAACTCATCAAACTTTCCCTCCAAAACCCCTCCGTCCAAACTGGCCCTTAGGAAACTACTTTAAGGTAATTACTAAAGCTTATATCTGCCTTGGATGGAACAGAATGCCTCCTTAGTCCACCAGAGGATCCGGAGAAAGACAGACGTTTACTTACAGAACCTATTGATGTTCCCTTCTCAGAATATGACAAGTGATTTGGAAAACGTGATCTTGCCTTTGCTGATTCAGTTAGAGTCATATAACCGGGAATTGCGGGCAAACTGGTAAGGCTAATGTCATCTCTCATTGATGATGACCCTGCAATACTATACCTTGGGCAACGTTCTGATTGAACACTCCCCATGCTTCTCCAATCGTCGTCTGCATAGCCTGTCCTCGGGCTTTGAGGCCGCATTCTTTTGGACTTAGTGGTGGGTGTAGAAGGCCATTGTAAGCTATGATGCAAGCGGTATTCTTTGTTTGGTCTATGTAATGGAGTAGAAGCATCTGTTAGCTCATTACAGGAAGAGCTTTTGCTCTCCTGCGGTCGGGCAGCCATCCACCGCTCAAACAAACTCCAACCCCAATGGGGGTTATTTGGGTCCATGATCGTCTGGTTCATGGATCTTGGGGAGTTCCTCAGTGTCTGCCATTGTAAGAAGAAGTTAGAACAATCAAAGAAACTGTGATGAGATCATTCAACTTAGGGGTGAACCTGGCCCTCTTACTGAAACCGGACAGATCGGCCTTTGCCCATAGACCGAACTGGTACTTGAGATCAGTCCAAACCAGTTCCCCGAAACAGAAATCGGAACTGTCACGGCTTCGGTTCCAATTCCAGTGTTCCACCCTTTACGTGACTAGGAACCAATTGTTCTGGAACCTTTTTGAATTGGGTCATAATGCACATGGTTCAAATGGTCAAAATCTTTTGTTTAGTTTTTGAATTAGAAAAGACTGTTTGAAAGAGGTGGAGAATAGACTAAGAGGAGACGCATAGGGTAAATTTTGTATCTTGTTTGGTTAGAGTGAAATGGATAAGAATAAGTTAGAATAACGAGTTCTTTCCATTTTAGTCCTCCGACTATTAAGCAGTGACACATTTGGTACTTGACTTTGAGCTTTTCCATATTTAATCCTTCACTATTGTGACAAGATACTTTTGTTATCCGTCTTTAAAACTTTTCATATTTAGTCTTTCGACTTTTATTAAAAGTGACTTTTCTAGTCATTCCAATATCATTTTCTCACAATAGTCAGGATTAACACGGAAGCACTTAAAGTTGAGGATCACGTGCCTCTCTCACAACAAGGAATAAGTAAAAGTGAAAAAACTCAAAGTCGAGTACCAAGAGTGTCATACAATAATAAGCGGACTAAATTAAAAGTAACAAAAACTCTTAGAATGATACTCCTTTCTCTAAAAGTCCTCTCCATTTTCATTTTCAACCTCTCATTTCACTTCTCATCAAATGAGAGAAATGTTTCATTTCCTCGTTATTTCTATTGCATTTCTTTCCTCTACACCAATTGCCAACTAAACAAATGCTAAAATTTGAATTGATTGATTGGCTAGTTAAACTCAAAATCTCACAAACGTGTGTTCCTTTTTAGTATTTATATGTGAGACTCTTAAAAAGCTTTTCACGACAAACACAGAAATATGTAAAGAAAGGCATATATACCTGATGAGCATAAGCATAATAAGCCAATGCCCTTTCCCTACGTTTGGTAGCATCGTGTTTATTCTGCAGTTTTGCTTCAATCTGCTCTTTAGACTGTGCACTAACATCCCAATATTCACTGCAATGCTGAAAATTAAATTGCAATCTTTAGCTGGTTTGGTTTACATGTTCAAAGAACTCAAATACCACTAAAAATGATGTCACCACTCACAACTACTCTTAATTTCTCAATCTCGTCCGCGTGCCACTTTTGCTGGAGCTGTCTTTGGAGAGCATGTTCCTCCTCCTCCCACATTCTTAATCTTGTAGAGCGAACTTCAGACTGCACACGAGCTATTGTTTGCAAACACTTTAAGGTGGAGGCGACTTGTCGTTTCACACATTGCCCGTGAAGCATTGTTTTCAACCTCACTAAACCTTTCAGACCTCGCAATGCTCTCCTAGTCTTCACAATAGGTAACCAGGTTGAATGATATGATCTTTCTGTATTAGGAATAGGGAAAATGGAAACTAATGAAAACTTTTTAGCGGTCTTCTTACAACAGTTCCACCTTTTCGTTATTCATGAATAATCCAACCTTTGCACACCATCTTCATTCACTGGTCCCTGACCGGTTGATGACCTGCTATTCCAAGTTATTTTCTTATCTTTGCAAACCATTATACCATAAATCTCACCTTTCACAAAGTTAATATTTTGCAAAGATAAGAAAATAACTTGGAATAACATGTCATTAACCGGTCAGGGACCAGTGAATGAGGATGGGGTGCAAAAGTTGGATTATTCATGAATAACGAAAAGGTGGGACTATTGTAAGAAGACCGCTAAAAGGTTGGATTATTAGTTTCCATTTTCCCGAAATTAATAAATATTATTATTCTTATTAATGAGTGATTTTCCTCTTCCCTATGAACTACAATATTGTTATTCTCTTTCATTTTGGATTCACTTTTCTATCATATAGGCTCATGTATCCTACATAAATTTCATATGTACTCTATATTATCAGCAGAATAAAAATAATTGTTCATTCCATTATATAATTACTTCCACAATCTCAACTAAAATTTTAAGTAGATCAATAGATTGAGGAGAAAGATGTTGCATAGGAAATGTTAGACCATGTATCCGCGAAAAGCGGTTTGTATTTTGATAGCAGCTATCTCTTCGTTTGATTTACCCAAGTAACGGGCTGCAGATGTGAGGCGAACAACCTCTGCAGCTGCCTGAGCGGCTGCAACAGCCGCTTCGGCAGCTGCGGCAGTGGCTATAGCTACCGAGTAAGCATGCTTGTTCTGTTCATTCTTCGCTTCCATCAATTTCTCTTGGTCCGTAGGGGGAATGGTTACATGGATTTCCAAATCTGCCCTCTTTTCTTTCCCAAACCATTTTGATTTATGAACAACCTAGTAATAACAGTTATTGAAACATGTTAAGAATAAGGTTGAACCCAACTCAACAAAAAAGAGCTATAAAGAGGGCATATTCATTTTTAACACAATGCACTATAGGTCTGTTTGGAATGCGGAAATGCTACAAAAAGGTTGAGAGAAAATAGAGGATAATTTGGAAGGAAAGAAAATATTGATAAAAGTAAAACATTCTTATAAACTCAAAAACTTGTTTTAAACAATTCTTTGTATTGGAGCCAAAGCCTCACTATTTTTTGGCTTGGGAATATGATGGAATAAAACAAAATGACTCATTACACTGTCCACGCTTCTTTGTTATGAAACAACGGTCAGTCCATGCATTTTTTGATGCAATTTTCATTATGGGTCATCCGGAAACAATCTCTTTGTGCTTTAGTACAGGGGTAATATTGCATACATCCAACTCCCTACCCACCACCGTAGGTGGGAGCCTTTGTGGCACTGGGGTAACGATGATGATGATGAAGAATTCTTTGTGTTCATTTCATTTATTCATTTCTATCATATAGTAGTAAACAATCTAAACACATGCAAACAAAATATAGAAGCATTTCATTTTCTTTTGCATTTTCTGAGGTAAACCCCAATATATAAGAATAACTTTCTTTTAACTTTTTCTTTCCTTTCTATAGAATTTTCCAGGATCCAAACATAGCCTTAAAGATACGTAGAAATTAGAGTGAATGTGGACCTTATCTTTCTTCTTAGTTTCTGAACTCAAAGCTTTCTTCAAAGCAGAAAGCCAGCTTGATTTCCTCCCCATTCCTGTAAAGACAGAGTGACAGAAAGAGAGGGGATCAGAGGGACTGTTTGGTGAGGGCTATTTGGCTAATGTCCAGCAAGAATACATTTGGTAACCTATTTTAGCCAAATAAGTAAACCAAGACAGGCTACATTAATACATTGCTTGAAGAGCAAATGAGAGAGATGGGAATTACACTGATTTCGATACAGAAAATTATACAGAGGCTATAAAAAGATAAACTTCCCAAGATTTCTCTATTTCAGCATTGAATTGCAGAAATTTAAAAACCCACAATGCAAAATTGCCATATTTTCACAAAAGATAAACTTTCCAAGATTTCTCTATTTCAGCATTGAATTGCAGAAATTTAAAAACCCACAATGCAAAATTGCCATATTTTCACAAAAAATAAACTTTCCAAGATTTCTCTATTTCAGCATTGAATTGCAGAAATTTTAAAACCCACAATGCAAAATTGCCATATTTTCACAAAAGATGGCACCTTTATACATTTATTAAGGTTTTCTTATCACATTACAATATGTAATTAAGAACCCAATAAACGTTATAAGAAACAATAAGAATTAAAGAAGGTAAAGATAATGTGTACCTGAAACTGAAACAAAAATACAATCTTTGTTCAATCTCTATCATTAAAGATTTCTGTTTCCCCCCTCTCTTGTTGTATACTGTGAGCAAGAAGATTGTGAAGTGGATGGGGTTTGCAGGGTGGGGGTGGGAGTCCGACCACTGACGTGGCAAATTTGGGATGATTGGAAGTGGTTGGAACTTGAAGGCAGGAATAACGAACAGGGGTACTTTGGGAAGTTTTGAGTCAGCTATTAAATACCCCGCAAAAGCTTCTGACATGGCGTTGCTGTTCGCGCTCCAGTAAGGAAATGCGGGGCCCATAACCGGACAACTAACCAACCTGCTTTCGTTATCCCCTTTTTAAAAGTCCAAACGCACCTCAAAGCTTGAAATTCTGCTAATTTCTGACAGTCCACAGACTTTTAAAATATTTTTCACTACTTTTTTCCTTTTTTTTTTAAATCTTGGATGTATAAAGAGACTCGAAAATAAATTTACACTTGATGAAGCAACGCATGACTCATTTATTTTCAAACGCCAGTTGTTTGGACAAATGTACTACGGAGTAATAAATGCTGTCAACAAAAAATATTTCATAACTTAAGTGTGAATATAATAAATTTTCACTTATTACTTATTTTCTTTTACAGATATAAGGCATCTCCTTACATTGCACTTCCACATCTTTAAATGCATTATTAAAATGGAAGTGTCATCTCCAAATGCAAAATAAAATAGTCCATTTGTTCCATAAAATTCTTATTACTTACTAATTTGAGATGTCCCAAAAAGTTCTTCTCATTTCTTTTTAGGAAAGTTTTGTGTTGCTAACATTGATTTACTTTTTTCTTACTCAACCATAATCACACGTTTCCGTTTTATTCCCATTTTCTTAAACTCTAATTCAAATCAAACCAAGAAAAATTTTATGAGACGAGAAAGAGTATGGCAATTAAAAAATGGATGAAGGTCCAGGATATGGTTCATAATGGGCCAATCAGTTATGGCCTTGTTTGGTAAGGATGTTTTCTTTTGGACTGAAATTTGTTGGTCTGGTCTGATTTAGTCTGTTTAAGTCTAGTCTGGTCTGAACTGGTCTAGTAAACGTCTGATCTCTGTGTATTTAATAATTATGGAAGTCTGATCCGATTTGATCTATTTAAGTCTGATCTGGTCTGGGACTGAAAACAGTTCACAAGAAAACATCCTAATACTGGACTGATTTCGCGTACCAGTTCCAGTCCAGAACCAGAAAACCAGTATCTGTTCGGTTGATTTATCCGTTTAGTTCCGGAAACGGGTCCACCGTTATCATGATATTGAGTGAGGATTTTGCCATTTTGGGGCAGTAAATATTAAGTCCAACAAATTAAGATATTAAGAGCAGACAAGTTCCCCACTCTAATTATTGCCAAGGTGAGTTCAAAGTTCAAACTCCCTTGCCACTGGAAGCAGACTTTCCAAAAAATAACATCTCAACAAAGTTGTGGATGATGGGGTTTCTTCTTATTGCAGTTTTACATCGGATGGATTATTGTTATCAAATGTAAAAATATAGATATGCAGTCCTTATTAGACTAAACATAAATTTACTCTAAAGGTGCAGAGAAGCCCTAATGAAATGTACATAAATCAGGGATTCAAATTTCTCAGACAATGTCCTAAAACCATCCATGAATTTATTGAGGTGGCGGTGTTGTTTCACCAACTTTAACTTGCTTCAATGACGCTGAGTCCAAACCTTTTCCCAACGAGTCACTTCCCTCGCGACCTCTTTCTTGAGGGCCTGGTTCCGCTTTCTGGCCCGAAATGCAGACATTAGTTCCATGCAATTCATCACTGGGGTTGGCATTGTCTGGCAATTGGAGTTGCTTGTCTCCAGTTGATAAAGGAGAGTGTGTGGGTTCATCAGATATGATGGGTGGTGGTGTTTTTACTTCTTCTCCCCCCATCTTCCTCGTCTTTTCAAACATCATCTGAAGGTACCTCCCTTGCTCTTCAATCCTCAACTGCAATTTCCTTTGTATCTGGGAGGGTGGGGTGGGGGAGATGGATATTTTACCCCATTATTAGTATGATATATCCATGCACAATGTTAAGCACGCAAAAATCAAATGGCAATATCTATATCCAACGTTTCCGAAAGGAAAAAATGTTAAAAGGGCCACCATGATGTACCTTATGAGTTGCACATTCAGTTTGTTAAATTGTCAATTTACCCTTACATGGAGAGAAAATATGGTTGGACTGGAAAATTTATATAAATTCTTTTACACATAAACAATGGTTTTTACAAAATTTGAGGTATGCAGGGGCCTGAGTTGGCCCTACTCCCCTTTCCTACACCCATGCCCTTGCATTGATGAGTAATAACTAATAATTTGATGAAACAGCAGATTGAAAAAACAGTGCAGAAGTTTTTTTTAAGTTACTTTTAGCTAATGATTAAAATGAAAATAAATCATAAACGATTCTCCTACCCTCATGTTCCAGATATTATTTTCATTTAATTTATGAACAAGACATATATTATTCAGCCTGTACAGCCATTTTACCCACGCTGCAGCCAAGTGATATCATCTGCCCATTACAAGTGAGATTTTACAAACAAGCGGATCATAATAAGAAACCAAAATTTATTTGTGGTATAAAAAAAGCAGACATTTCAGTCAGCAAATATGAGAAACCTCATGGGTTACTTGACACTATACATACCTCGAGTTGTTCATGAAGCTGCTTCTGAACTTCCATCTGCATCCGTAGTGCTTCTGTTATACCCATACTCCTGTTAAAACTTAAAAGTTAAAACCCAACTTTTATCTTTAACTCAACATTAAACAATTAATCATCGAGAATTTATAGAGGCAATAGAATTATAGGATATGAGAGAGTAGACACTTACGTTTTCATGCCTGTAGATGTGGCCTCTAGGATATTATTATCTTCTGAGGTTCCTACAAAATGCCATGCACAGCTTCTGGATGAGTATGTTTAGAAAGAAATGTGCTTTACAAAGATACTACTAAAACATAAAGTTCCATACCGAAAGGCATATGAGTAGTCCTAAACCTTATGCATTGGTTTATCCCCCCCCCCCCCCCCCCCCCCGTCCCAAAATTTCTGCCGAGTCTAACCGAGCACGGAACTTAAGAAAATGAAATTGTGTAAATGAGATTTGTTCTAAAGTTATAACAGAGAAATATTGTGAACCACATGTTGCTGTCCTCCAAAGAAATGTGAAACAACTTTGGGATGGACAAAAAAAAGGTAACTAGATAACTACGGACAAATAGAGTATAAATTTTGGTCCCTCAACTATTTTAGCATAGGCCTTAGTATCAATAATTAAAACCAATGAAACAACTTTGAAAATGAGGGACAGAAATAAGAGGCATGAATTACTCTGAGATGGCAACAATGAGCGACTCCAATGCACAATCGACAATCCAGAACATTGAATGATTTTCTATGTGAATGTTCATTTGGTGTGAGTTTTGTCTCTTAAACTTATAAGAGTGACATTCAGCCATAATTAGGATACTGAAAGGGTGTTTACCTTGTGAAGGCTCTGGTTTGTATTTGGCTGTCCTATATTTCTGGAAGCCATAGTAAAGCATTTATAAGAGCAATAACTATTGCCAAACGTTAGTAATTCAAAACATCTCCATATACCTGCAAGTGGCTTTTAACATGATATATGGTCAACCCTTCAACTTTCATGAGCTTCAGTACCGCCTTAGGAGTGGCCCCTATAATGTGAGACCATAATAATCCAAATATATTAACAATGCAAACTTGAAAATCTCAATTAACCAAAAAGGGGGAGCAATTAGTCACTCACTGTCGCTACCCCGCCAAGTTTATTGACGGCTTCCACAAAAACTTCATGAAGTTCAGGTGTCCAACGCATACGAGTCTTGGTTAGAACAGTATTGGAAGGAGAAGGATGCACAACACTACAATTTTGTTCAGATAGTGTGGGAGTAGCTTGATCAATTTGAGGCTGCGGAACAGGGGGTATTTCAGGCAATGTTGACAGCAGCTGGTGTCAAGTGTAACATCTATCTTTAGTAAGAACGTTCAAATCATAATATATCAAACAAATTTGTTCTTGAGTATCCCATATCAATTGTCTGAGTGCCTAGTATTGTCACTGTCATAAACTCAATCTTAAGAATCCTAATAGAAAGAGATTGACCCAAATGAACATGGATTAAAAGCCTTGTCCTATGGCATACCAAATGAACATGGATTAAAAGTCTTGTCCTATGGCGGTTTTGGGTAGGTCTATAACCAACTAGTAAGAGACAAGTTAAGCTCTATATAACGTTAGCGTTTCAGAAACTTTGGACTTCCGATTTTTTTACGGTACTTCTTATTGGAAAAAATGAGTGTGCCAAAGATGCACATGTTGCGTTTGATGTGTGGACATACTAGAAAAGACTACATGAGGAATGAGACAATCAGACAAAAGATGAGAGTATCACCTATTCAAGAAAAAATAAATTTGATAAAAGTTAGATATATAAAGTAAAAGATTAAGAACAATTCACATTGACCGAAGAATAGTGGACGGGAACCTTTGAATGGGACGGAGGGAGTATATTTTTTAAATCTCGTTTCTCGCATTTTCCAATTCCTGTTTAGTCTTACCGTGCTACTTAGGTTGGGGAGAATGTGTTCAGAACGGTAGTCTACTAGGTTTATGTCTGTTATCTAAACATCAGGTAAACCTTGCCGCTTAAGGGATCCTTTTAGGGTGAGCTAGACCTAATGTAACATTTCTAAACCATTTTTAATAAAAATACAATAAAAGAATCGGGGTTGAGGAACAAGCCTTGGATTCAGGATCAGGGACATCAACGTCAATAAGAATATCGCTCCAGTTGGTACCTAGAAGGTTTACGTCATCATCGTCATCATTCATTAGCTGATCTGCCCATTCTTGCCAATCAGTTTTCTTGCCATAGTCATCAGATGACATGACACCTGCAAGTGTTTCAACCTGGCCATTTTGAACTGTAACACTTGTTGAATAATCAATAAAATCCGGGGATTTATCTTTGCTCCAGGCATCTATACTTTTGTGCACAGGAAAACTATCCAGTTTAGGAAGATTGTGGTCTATTGAGGGCTGAATTGGTAGAGGAATAGACATAGCTCCAGAGACACCCACTCTAGCTTCATTTGATCTTTGGATAAATAATGCAGGGCGTGCATTCATCTTATCTCCATAAATCGAATCAACTTAAACTAGTTTATTTTACAACACAGACCAGATTTGCCTTCCTTTCAGTTTCAACAGAACACGCACGATTTCAACAATATTGGTTTCCAAGCTGTTGCATCTGTGGAAAAGTTTTAAAGTTGGAATTGGGATCAAATTTCGCCAAACAAAACACACAGACACTGACACACATACATATTTATAGTTTGATGTAAACTTTTAAAGGCTTTCCCTTTTTCTTTTCAACTTTTTCTAAAAGAGGGTCCCAGCTATAAATGTGCAAGAAAATTGAAGAAAAACATTAACACGCGAAAACTAAATTTTCAATACCATTAATCTAGATTAATATTTAAGAGACTTAAGATTCTTCATATGTTCCAATAAATATCTTGATGTCACTTTGTTGTAAACCAAACTAAGCTTTGGGCTCGTAGCAAACCATAAAAACCTGCCTAAAAAATGCAGAGCTATTCTTTGTGATCCGAATTTCCACAAAACCAATAGGTTTCGTTTGGTTGCTGATTTACTACCCGAAATGTCATGACATTGACTCTAAAACTTCCAGCAGTGACTGATACCCATGAAGCCATATTTCGGCTATCAGCTAACCACACTCGTGTGTCATATATAAACATTTGTTACTCTATTCATTCCATTATATAACTTCTCCCTGCCCCACGCATTGAGCCAATTTATTCTTTAGCTCGGGTATTCTTCCTGCAACAACTTTCCCCTTCGAGCAATAACTAAACGAATACCCTAGCGATTCTTTACAACTACAAGAAGGGGGAGAAACCAAAAGCTTGATATTCATTTTTAATCACAAAATTCCTTTCCCTTTCTGAAACCCAGTATCGACCCAATTCAGGAATCGTAGATGAAAAACAAATCAAATCGCAAGATGAAAAAAGTGGAATTTGATGATTGGGCATTCCACCGCATGAATCAATCAATGAATCAATCATATAAAATAAAAGAAATATATATATAAAAACTCATATGAACTGCACCTGAGAGGAAGAGGGGTCACTATGAGTTTTCGGTGGCGGCTGATTAATCGTATCCTGGGAAAGCTCAGGAAAAATTGCAGTCCTCTCGTTGTCTCGTAAGACTTACAAGACAAAGATTCGAATTGCGCTCTTCTTTGACGATATATTTGTAAATTAGAAATTCGGATTCTTTAAAGAAGAACTCCAAATTGAGGGCTTCTAGCATTAATTTAAAAGGTGTGTTGGGTTAGCGGTTGACACGGGGTAGAAGTATGTTAATGTTTTTTTTTTGAAAGCATGAAATTGTTGATCAATTGGGCTTGGGGTACACCATTTGGTACACACACCTACACACTATAAATAGGCCCAAAAATTACATTTTTTTTTCAAAATTGCTATTGTTACACAAAATTCATACACACACATACACACTATAAATAGCACAAAAATAATTTACCCCCTTTCCCTCACCTCCCCAATTTCCCCCGCTCCCAATTATTTCGCGCATTCCACCTTATCCCTTCCCTTGAACCGCCTCAGTCGCTGGCCGATTAATCCCCCTCTCAGGGCCGTCGCCAACTCTCGACGAAGGCAACCTCGGCGGCGCCAACCCTCGACAAAGCCAACCTCGTCACCCGCCAACCCTCGACAAACCCAACCTCGTCGCCGCGAACTCGTCCCCCGCCAACCCTAGTCGAAGGCAGCCCTCCTCCGGCCAACCTCCGTCGAAGGCGAGCGTGGTCGCTGCGCACTCCAAGGTGCGAACCTTCCTCCCCGTCTCAGTCAAAAATGGTGCGAACCCCGCTATCGATCATGGTTGAAAGGTATGTATCCTCAATCTTTTATTTTTCTTTTTAGCAATTTTAGGCTATTGATGATATTTATTTGGAGGGTGAAGCAAAATCTCTGTTTATGAAGTTTTGGAACCCACCTATTGCTTGGATTTTGAAAATATGTATTGTCTGTGTAAGGTTTATTTTATGCCCGTTAACAGACATATGTATTGTCTGTGTGAAGATCGATTTGTCTAAGTATTTGTCTGTGTGAACTTATATGTAAAAGGATGTGCCTCCATTTGTCTGTGAAGACTTATATGATTGTCCGTATGGCTCTGTATATGTCTGTGGGGACTATTTTGCCTGAATGCAAGATAAAACAGTTCTAAAGTATAACTCTTGTGTAAAATTTTCTCTGTTCTTAATTTTGATGTGCCAATTAATCCTCCATAAGTTTCTTACTCTTTTTCACTTAATTGAGTTCTACTAATATTTCTAAACAAGGACTAGTAAAAACTACAGTTGATGAAATTATCAAATTTGGAACAATGCTCAATTTGAAGCAAGGAAACATATTCTTATATTGTATGTAATTTATGAATACATAAACAATGTAAGCAGATTCGGTTGCCGTATGATTATATATAGAATCTTAGATTCGTAAGCAAATTACCAATATGTTTACTTTTGACTTTACAGAATGTTAGAACTAGCAGACTTGAGTCTCGTAAAGATTCTATACAGAATATATTTTAGAGAATAACCCGGTAATGATGATCTCTTACACACCCTCATAAAATAAAGGAAAAAAATTCAATGAAAAACTTTTTCATGCACTTGTTCTTCTGTTTCGCTAAAGCATACACGCCGAGGCCTATGGACTGATGAGTCCTTTGTTCGTGGTAATTAATTAAAAGTTTCAAAAGTTTGTATTGTGTCTGTGCGTTTGAACTTTACTTGTCTGTGCATTGATAAAGTAATGTCTGTGCAATACTTGTGTCGTCTGTAATTTTGTTTTTGGTGTAGTACCAACTTTTATGGAGTGGGGATCGATTGCTTAAGAGAATGGACTGCAGGCGGTATGAAAAGATTTGTCTACTATAGTGCTATACCAGTAAGATTTGCCCCAAGCAGGCCTTGTTCAATTCCAGTTCTCAGTTCGTTCCATGATTAGGAATTTAGCCTTTTTTCAAATAACAAAGCTGGAAATGATCTGGTCTATGGTTGATTTTGGAGGAACCACTGATTCAAACTGACTGGGGGTATGATCTGGTGACCTTCAAGTTCACCAATTAAATGAAACCAGTGATTCATACTCAATAGTCAATAGTAAACAATTAGCAAATCAAACACTTCATTGGCCATTTAACTTACCAGTAGGTTTAATGAACTTTCAGATTCAGAATTATTGGAAAGCATATAGTGATATTAGATCAAATCAATTCCTAAGTACTACCAATGTTCCACAACTTATGAAGTTATGACAAATAAAGTTATGAAGTTGGAAAATTAACTGATTTTGTTGTTTTATCAAGATGAAATAAGTCCTATGTTAATGATAAACACGTGTACTCCTTTAATAATAAAAGTTAAACATAGTTTTCTCAACGTATGTCTGTGTGAATGAATTTGTGTCTGTATCTAATTGAATGCTTGTCTGTGTGACTTAACATATGTCTATGTGCTTATGATTTATTTTCTTACAATCATAAGGCACTTGAACTTCAAATTCCTTTGAGCAAGCATTTCCCTGCGCAGTATTCAGTGTGCTCGGACGTGAAACATGCTTTGAAGTACATTCCTAAGATGATGTCCAAGAAACAAAAGGGAATATTCCAGAAGTTGTCATTGTTGCCTGAGTGTGCATATGCGAACATGGCAGCAAAAAGATGTGAATTTGCAATGAGGCTATGGATTTTGAGGATGCGATCGACTTAGCCAAGTTTAGGTCTTCATGTTTATGGTAGGCTGGGTTTGGTTGTAAAACATTGATGTAACCTTACTATGGAGTACATTTTTTGGTGCTCATTTTTTGCCACCATGGGTTTGGTTGTTAAATGTAGGAGGTTGTACAATGTTACACTAACAATTTGTACAGTGTCCTAGAATGTACTCCCACATATTACCTGAATTGGTATGCCTTTTTGTTTTTGTGGCAAACACTTATTGTTTATGGTGTTATTATATATGAGGGATGCCTTTGCCTGTGAAGAAGAAAAATCTTGTTTGTGCTGTAATATGACTTTGTCTGTGATTTGTGTCGTAGTTGTCTGTGCTATGTATCCGCTATTACATCCACCTACAATATTTTTAATAACTACTTTATGTAATTTAATACCTCAGACTTTTATTACTTTGATTACCACTGGAGCCCATGTGTAATTTTGAGGTGATCAATAAGTTTACAGATTATTAGTTTAATCTTACAAACTTTACTTTTTTATTTTAGTAACTACTCCGTAATTGTTTAAAAACTACTAGTATATGTAATCCATTGTCTATAGCGCGTCTGTGAAGAAGAAAAAATTTACGTATGGTGTAATACCACTTTGTCTGTCATTTGTGTTGTATTTGTCTGTGCTATGTATCCTTTTTTGTATAGTTTGAAAAATAGACATTTTCAAAAAGAAATATGTTTCACAAAATATGTTATATGACATTAATACGACTTTGTTTGTGCTTTTATATGACTTTGTCTGTGATTTGTGTCTTAGTTGTCTGTGAAGAAGAAAAATCTTGTTTGTGTTGTTATCCGCTCTTACATCCACTTAAAATGATTTTAATAACTACTTTATGTAATTTAATAACTAAAACTTTTATTACATTGATTACCACTAGAGCCAATGTGTAATTTTGAGGTGATCAATAAGCTTACAATTTTTTTTTGCAAATTTAAGCTTACAGATTATTAGTTTAATCTTAAAAACTAACTAGTTGTTTAAAAACTACTGGTATATGTAATCCATTGTCTATTGTGCGTCTCTGAAGAAGAAAAATCTTGTTTGTGCTGTTATATGACTTTGTCTGTGATTAGTGTTGTAGTTGTCTGTGAAGAAGAAAAATCTTGTTTGTACTGTTATATGACTTTGTCTGTGATTTGTGTTGTAGTTGTCTGTGAAGAAGAAAAATCTTGTTTGTGCTGTTACATCGTCCATGGCCACCGCCAAGTTCAGGGACATTGTCCATGGCCGCCGCCGCCGGTTCTCCGTCACGTTTAGCCACCGCTGCCGGTTCTCCCTCAATTTCAGCCGCCACCCGCCGGTTCTCCGTCAACTTCAGCCGCCACCCCGCCGGTTCTCCCTCAACTTCAACCACCAAAATCTATTGATTCCATTGATTTTGAAGCTTGTTATGCGTTGAGGTGTGCTGCGGGTACAAGAAAGAAGAACGATGGGGGAGGGAGTGGGGAAAGAGAGGGTGGGTTGTATTTGAGCGTAAGGGAGGGAGAGGGGTAAAAAAAATGGTAATTTTTGGACTTATTTATAGTGTGTAGGTGTGTGTATGAGTTGTGTGTACCCCAAGCCCAATTGTTTTTTTTTACCCCCTCCCTCACGTGCGATTTCTTTCCCTCCCCTCCCCTCTATTCCCGCAGCTCCTTCCCTCCCTCCCCTCTTCGTCGTTTTTTATTTCCCGCAGCAGAACAACCTTACAAAAATGGAATTTCCTGGCTTTGTGAATGAAACTATCATTGATACTACAGTGGACGATTTTTGGGCTGATTGGGCTGAAGCAACCGGTGGTTGTCGACGTGAGGATGAAGGTGAGCGAGAACCGGCGGCGGCCACGGCTGAACATGATGGACAACCAGATTCGGCGGCTGAACTTGACGGAGAACCGGCCATGGACGACGTCCCTGAGCTTGGTATGAGTTTGTGGTGTTGGTTTCATTGGCTTTGAACATAAATATATGTTTGTTCTTCACAGACAATTATTTGTGTTTGTGTAGTGTATATAAATTGTCTGTTAGTAAATATACTTATGTCTGTGCGTAAAGTGTATATAAATTCTGTGTTCAAAATATTATAAGTTTCATTATGTCTGTGTACATTGAGTTTAAATGTCTGTGTACATATATACTTTTGTCTATGAGTAAATATACTTATGTCTGTGCGTAAATATACCACTGCGTAAGTACATTTCTGTTTGTAATGTCTGTGTCTCAATATTCCTTTGTTTGTGTGTGTATATGCTTCTGTCTGTGCATAAATATACCTCTGCCTGTGTGCTTAAATATACTTACCTCATTGCATGTTGACATGGACACATTGTTTAATCGTTGAATTACGTGAATGTCGATCAGATGGAGCAATTAAGCGAAATGAGAGTGATGATGGTTCTATACAAGCTCCGGATGTCGGTATGCAATTTGATAGCAAAGAAGCGGTGTATGATTTCTACAAGGCATATGGGAAGCGTTTAGGATTTCCCGTAAGAACTAGGAGTACCACGAAACACAAAAATGGAGTAGATATAGTTGGAGTATTACTAGAGTGCTCTCATGCCGGTAGCAGATCTACTAGGTCAAAAAATCAATTGAAGCCTCAACCTTCAATGCAAATGGGATGTGGAGCAAAAATACGAGCACGCACAAATTATGAGTATGGTATAATGAGTATGAAGATTGTTAGTACGGTATGTCTTACAGTATATTTACTAAATATTTACTAAATGTACTATATATTTACTAAATACAGTATGTCTTATAATGAGTATGAAGATTGTTAACTTGGTTAGATCACACTTTTAGCATATAGTTGAGCCAATAAATATGTGATGCAAAAAATGTCAGTAAATACACACTTGGTTATATATATATATATATATATATATATATATATATATATATATATATATATATATATATATATATATATATATATATATATATATATATATATAGACTACATACAAACAAAAATGTACTAAATACAGACAAAGCAAATCATTGCACAAACAAGTGATGTTTAAACCTTTTCCTGTAAAGCCTTGTTGACTGTATCAATAACCTTAACCAGTAAGTTTTTCAGTTCACCAAGCTCCTCGTCCACTTTTTTTTCCAACCTTTGAACACTGATTTTTATCTCATCAATATTTGAACACATTTCTTGAACCTTTTCCCTTGTTTCAAGTTCAATATTGTCATGTTCACCTTCGTCTTCATCATCAGAATTAGGGGGTGTAGGCACCTCCTACCAAAACATGAACATGATTTCATATTATAAATATATATATTAGTGGACAATTATAATGATAAACTAGGAATGATAAAGTAAGAAGACTTACATCAGCAAAGACAAGTTTCCGTATCTTAGATGACCAGAATTTGCCATGACATGTCCAATTTAGTATTGGGACTTCATCATTCCCAACACGTGTGCCAAAGTGTTCCCCAAATTTGGGAATTCTTTCATATGTTCACACCTAAATACGACGTTTAGTGAAGAAATTTATATTATGGGAAGTATAGAGCATTGTGAAAATATAAAACATACAGAGCAGATGTATGTTTGTGAGCATTTAAAACTCTGTCTGGGAAGTACACAGAGTGTTTGTGACCATTGAAAAATATGTCTGGGACGGATACAATACAAAATCAAACTTAATAAAATGGCGATCATACCTGTAACACCAATATGAACCCGTAGATGGAAAACTTGGCATTTTTGTACTCAGGGTTGTTAGTTTTACTGTCAACAAACTTCATTGGATGCCCATCAAGAAGACGCTTGACATGTGTGACAAGCAAATCATATGCATCTCTCGACCAGGGCTCCTTCTTGAACTCTTCAAAGTCATTCACAAGCTGAATAGACTTCCGGCTGATCCGAGTTGTCCTATCTTTTCCCAACAGTACATTCTCAACTACAAAGAGGGATGCAAGCTTCACTGGTAGGTCACCTTTCCTTTTTTTACCTCCCCGTACTTCATCAACCTTGTCCTTCATCATCTGGAAAGTGATATCCAGTGATCCACCAAAGTAGGTCTTCGAAATCTCCCCAGGTTCTTCCTCATCTTCAGCGTCTTCATCATCTTTTTCAGTATCTTCGGCAACGGCAGGCCTGGGGGCTGCCGGAGGTAAGCCCGTGATGCGGCAGAAATCGTTGTATGTGAATTCTTCTTTTTTGCCCACTATGTTGAACCAGAGCTCATCTTTGGGTTGTTGCTTGACCATACGTAACAACAACATGTGCACGATTTGGGCACAAAACTGAATATCAGGTATGTCAGCAAAATGACCCCATGGTGTCTTCCGAAACTGTGCCATTTGTTGTTTGGAAAGCATGTCCTTCACGTACTTGGAAACATGTTTGACATCCGAGCACATAGAGTACTGCGCAGGGAAATGCTTGCTCAATGGGATCTGGAGTTCAAGTGCCCTATGAGTGTAACAAAACAAACCATAAGCACACAGACATATGTTAAATCACACAGACAAACATTCAGTTATAAACAGACACAATCAGTCACACAGACATATGTAAAAAAACTTTTGTTTAACTTCATGTTGAAAATAAGTAGACTCAATGTGTTTTAATTATATTTTATTAAGTGAATTGAATTTTAAGAACTATCTTTCAAGGAAGATATTGTCTGAACCTATTTCATTTAAAATTATATTAATGATTGATGATTTATCTATGTTTATTCATTTTACTACCCGGTGACATGAAGCAGTTATTAGAATAAGTGAATCTAACAAAATCACGAGAGGACATAGTGAAATATGTTGACTATTCATTGTGTTTTAATGCTTCAAATTGATGATTGTTCCAAATTTGGTAATTTAATCGACTGTAGTTTCTACTAGTCCTTGTTTAGAAATATTAGTATTACTCAATTAAGTGAAAAAGAGTAAGAAACTTATGGAGGATTAATTGGCACATCAAAATGAAGAACAGAGCAAATTTTACACAAGAGTTATACTTTAGAACTGTTTTATTGTCTTGCATTCAGGCACAATAAAGTCCCCACAGACATATACACAGCCATACAGACAATCATATAAGTCTTCACGGACAAATGGAGGCACATCCTTTTACATATAAGTTCACACAGACAAATACTTTGACAAATCGATCTTCACAGACAATACATATGTCCTTCAACAGGCATAAAATTCCCCTTACACAGACAATAGTTATTGTTCAAAATCCAAGCAATAGATGGGTTCCAAAACTTCACAAACAGAGATATTTTGCTTCACCCTCCAAATTAATATCATCAAATAGCCTATAATTGTAAAAAAAAATTAGAGGATACATACCTTTCGGCCATGGTTGAAAGAGGAGTTCGCACCATTTTCGACTGAGAGGGGGAGGAGGATTCGGACCTTGTATGTGCAGCGATAAGGTCGCCTTTGACGGGGGCTGGCGTGGAGGAGTCTGGCGTTCGACGGAGGGTTGGCAGGATGCCTTCGACGGGGGTTGCAGGGGTCGAGGCTAGTCTTCGGGGTTGCTAGGGACGACGGTTGGCTTCGTCAGGAGGTTGGGCAGTTCGAAGGTTGGGCAGCGACGGCCAGCGACGGGGAAGGTTGGGCAGTTCGAAGACGTTCCAGCAACGCAAGGACGAAGCAAAATTGATCGGAGGAAGAAGGGGGGAGGTTGGGCAGTTCGAAGGAATGGAGAAGGGGGGATGCGCGAAAATTGAAAATCGGGAGGAAGTATCGCACGTGTGAAAGGGATGGAAAGGGGGTAATTTTTTTTTTTGGTGTTTATAGTGTGTATGTGTGTGTAGAGAAAGTGTGTAACAATAGAAAATTTGATTGTTGATAAATGATTTTGTCAATCAACGTTTGAGTAGTGGATTGAGTTGGCAAGTTACACAAAAATGTTTGGTAATTTAATTGTTTGGCCGTATCGGTTATTTGCAGGAATTCTATTTAAGCAATTCCGTTTTAAAACGTTAAAGTCAGATAGTTATTTTATCAAACAACTTGTATGAGCATTTTTCACTTATTAAAAGGGATTTTTACAAGAATATTACTAAAATAAAACTTATTTACATAAATATGATTATTCATTACTTCAACGTAGTGTTGTGGTAACTTAAGTTAAAAACTTGAACATGAATCACTATGATTTCATTACTACTCTAGTAACTAGTCATATTTTTGTAAATCATCTTTATTTGGTCATATTTATGTAATTATTTCTTATTAAAAACGCTAAAAATTGTCAAACTATTGTTTTGTTATAACAATGCCATTATATCACCACCCAAAAGAATTCATACACTAAATAAACTACATGTGAAAAGTGTGTAAATGTATTATATTTTGGCCTGGTATACATAATGGAAAATGACGAATTTAGTTATTTTGGTGTAATACCTCATGTATTGAGTTGTAATATGATATTAAGAGTTGTGAATACATTTGAGTAATGTGCATATTATACGTAGTACTCTGTAATATTTAGGTTAATATTTAGGTTGTTGATACATGTATGTGTTATGTTTTTGTGTAAATGATGTAACAAATGATGTAAGCTATGTGTGACGATGTAGAAATGTAATGCATTTGTATATAAACAATGCAAAATGATGAACTTAATTTGGTTTAAAAAGGAGACTACTATACTAGAATTGAAGAAACGGAATAATCATGTTATTGTGATGGCCAAAAAATTGTGTGACCTTAAAGATAAGTCCTAAATACCTCTGTATAGGCAAGTGTACCCTATATATCTCTTAATACACAAGTGTAAGATAATTAACGAAACCTTAGTCATTGGCACTTTTTGAAACATTAGCAAGTTTCGAGGTCAACCTTTCTTCTTTTATGAGCTTCTTCCTTTGTGTCATCAGACTCATCATCAATAAAACTTTTATCATCAATCTTTCTCTACCTTTTCTCGTCCCCTTCCATTCTTACTACATATAATAATATTATCCTTTTTATTTGCTTGTTTCATATAGATCTTTGTTACGTTTTTCTCTCGAATTGGATAATAAATTTATTGTCGACCCTGAGAATAAGCTAGCTAATCTTCTGTGCATCACTACTACAAGAATGACATATCACGTCCCACCTTTCACGTCGGTTATTTAAAAACAGTCGTCGTAAGGGTCTTAGGGAGACAAACACGTCAGTTATAGTAAAAACCGACGTGGTAGATTATTCCGGAAATTTTAATATTCTTTTTCAACGTCGGTTTTTCTAATAACCGTCGTAACAGGTGCCCCGTTTATTTTTTTAATTTGCTATTAACGTCCGTTCTCAATAAAACCGCCGTAGTATTCTTACCGCGCTCTGGCGCGGAGTTTTTAAGAAAAGAACCCGTTTAACACTTAATACGGAGTCCAAGTGTGAAAAAGCCCTATACGGCAAAACCCTTGCCTCAGCCCTAATCACCTGCACTAATCGAACTCTGCGAAACTGCTCTGCGCAAACCGTCCTCCTCTGCGAATACTTTTCCGTCGATGAGCACTTTCCATCTAGCTGCTCCAGTTCCAGCACAAGCACACATCCTGGACTTGAACGAGTAAGCCTCTTTACTCTGCTCAATGATGATTGATGAATATAAAATCTTCCTCTTATTAAAATGGCGTCTTTTAGGTTGGGATATTCAGGAAAATCGCTTTTCTTCTAGCTGCTCTGGTTCCTGCGATTTCTTCATCTGCGGTATTCTTCCTCTCTTATTATGGTTTAATTTAATTGAAAAAATTGCAAAATTGTGTATATTCGATCTTAAGCTTGAGGGAAAAATATTATACTTGATTTGGGTAAGCGAACAATAGTTACTATATGGATTATCATTCAACAATGTTGTCACTTGGCATTGCTTTTACCTGCAGAAATATGTCACCTCCTAGGCCGCTCTTTAACTGTTGTTTGTTCATTAATTTCACCTACAAACATAAGCAGGGTTTTTTTAGCATGCCAAATTTTGGTTTTCAACTTTTTGGTATGTTATTTTATTTTGACATTTTGTCTATAGTTTTGAGTATTATCCTATGTAATTCCTCTTGATATATAGATTTGTAATACTGTGTTTTGTTAGTGTTGGTAAAAATTGATTACCATGGAGTGGGAGCTCCTGAGATTTTTCCACCATTTTTTTGTATGAACCTATTAGCTCATTCCCAAACAAGACCCTTATCAAAAGGGCTGGATTAACTTGGGGTTCCAAGAGGTGAGAAATGGTGTCTACATGAATTTCGGTAAAAGGGCTGTAAGAGTTGAGGCTTACTTGATAGGGCAATTGTCTCTCCCCCTCCATGTCCCACAATTTTCATCTCCTTTGAAGACTCAAACAAGAGTAAATAGTGAAACAGTATATGTTTAATCTGCATGTGCAATTCAAAGTAGTTCTATTTGTTTGAAAAAAAATTGTGACCTCAAGAATGTAATCGCATACATAGGGGAATGCATATGTCTCTCTTCAGATGTATGATATAACATCTAAGGATACATCTTATCGGTTAGGTTTTAAACAGACCATAGAATCTAAAGATCTCTAGCAGTTTAAACTCCTTAGGGAGTTAGGGTATATTCTAAAGATTTTTTATCATCCTATGACATCAGGAGGATGATTTTTAATGATTCTACAGACCATAGGGAAATGCATCTTAGATTACATTTTAATGCCACAGAACTTTGGAGCAAAATTTATATTGATAGTTTACATATGTATAAACTTTAGTTGTAGTTTCTTAATTAGTTAGTAGAAAATTATGTATGTGACTCGAGGTAGGAGCTCTTAGGGTCAATCACATTTTCCAATTTTTTTCATCCCTCCTAGTTAGTATTGTTACAAGTATAATTAATGTATGAGTAATAACTTGTCAGTATAGTTGTGAATTGTCCAGGCTTGTTAAATCTGGACCTCAAAATACTTGTATATTTGTTTAGGCTTGTTTAACTATTCAAACAACATAATATAGCAGGTAGTTAAAAAATATACACAGTACATCAACAATCTTCAAATCACGAATAAGTGCAGCAAGCAGGGTATTTTGAAGTTTTCCATTCTAAGATAACTTAATTTGTAAGTCATTAACCTGGAGGGTAGTTTTTTTATAGCAAAAGATTAGCCTGGAGGGTAGTTTTTTTTATAGCAAAAGAGATCTTAGTTATATATATATATATATATATATATATATATATATATATATATATATATATATATATATATATATATATATTTCAAATCTAAACATGTGCATATAGATAGATATTAGATAACATACTATCAACATTAAACAGCATTGGTTGAAACTAAACACCAAATAACTACTAGCTTTAATTTAATCAATTAAAAAATAACAAAACCCAAAAACATAATAAAAGAAGGTGTACATAATACCATATTACTCTCATTCAACTATAACAAAACTCAAAATGTTTATAAGCATTAGTTGTACCAAATGAATTGCT